GGCGGTGCTCAGGAAGGGGAGCAGCAAGGCCGTGATCCACAGCTCACAGGGTTGGCTTTTGTGGCTTCAGTTTTCCCTCTTTCTTTTTTTCTTTTCCTCTTTCTTTTGTAGTTCGTGGGGCTGGAACTCTGGGCTGGCGCTCTCCCTCTGCTCTTCAGCTCAAGGCTTGAGCCACTTCCCGTTTTCTGGTGGTTTATTGGAGATCAGAGTCTCACAGTTGTTTCTGCCCTGCTGGCTTTGAACCGAGATCCTCAGATCGCAGCCTCCTGAGTAGCCAGGATGACCGGCGTGAGCCAGGCGCCAGGCTGGTCTTTGTCTTTTGAGGCGGCGTGTTTGTTAAACTGTCTTCATAGGTATGGACGTGTGGAGAAGAATCTTACACACAAAATAGTGAGAGAGAAAAGCAAGCTGCAAAAGGATGTGCACAGACAAAGTGTGCTGATATTTCAGAGTAGCAAGGCGGAACCTGCTTAGAAACGAGCCAGAGGATGCGGACCGACAGACGGACAGGCGGCACCACCTCTGAGGTGGGGGGTATAGGAAGCATGGTACAGCTTTTACTATACCTATTGACACTTTATCTCTTTAAGAAGAATTAGGAAAGTGGCTCAGGGAGGAGGCGGTGCTCAGGGAGAGCACTCGCCTTGAGCTGTAGAGCGCAAGGATAGTGCCCAAGCCCAGAGTTCAAGCCCCAGGACAGAAAGAAAGAAAGAGAGAGAGAGAGAAAGAGAGAGAGAGAGAGAAAGAAAGTAGAAGTGTGGTTTAAGTGGTGGAATGTCAGCCGTGAGCAATAAAAACCAGGCAAGAGCACAAGACTGTGAGTTCAAGTCCCAGTACAGAGAGAGAGAGAGAGAGAGAGAGAGAGAGAAAGAATCCAGACCAAGAAGAAACAAAAGGGGGAATGGACTATTAGAGAGGCAAGAGAGGAGGGAGGAGGAGGAGGAGGAGGAGGAGGAATAGAAAGGGTGAATGTGGGTAAATTATATGCCTGTGTGGAAATACCATAGAGAAACTCCTTTGTACAAGGAATATCTGCTGTCTGAAGAAATACAGCAAACTATAAAGTGTAGAATTTAAACCAGGTGCTGGTGGGTCAGCCTGTAATCCTAGCTACTCAGGAGGCTGAGATCTGAGGATCACAGTTTGAAGCTAGCCTGGGTAGGAAAGTCTCTGAGACTCTCATCTCTAATTAACTACCAAAAAACAAAAAGCAAAAAGGCCAGAAATGGAGCAGTGGCTCAAGTAGTAGAGTGCTAGCTTTCAGCAAAAAGTCCCTGGTCAGCACTCAGGCCCTGAGTTCAAGTCCCAGTATTGGCACACACACACACACACACACAGAACAAAATTTAGATAGTAAATACCTGTGTGTTTGTTTTACTATTTGGTACATCAATATATACAACTATATTAGATATTTCGAATTAAACATTTTAATTACTGTAAAAGGACATTCTGTCATTCTTCCAATTTCTGGAGTATTCATTTCCCCTCATAGTGGCCTGCAGAGAGCATGGCAGCACTTACGTGACATAGGCGGGAATATCCTGCGTCTGGGTCTGTCTCTGTCCAGATGGCGGTCTCTGGCATGCTGTTCTGGCGTTCGCTCTGTGGTCCTCACTAGCTGGTGGTACTCCTTTTTCCCAAGGGACAAAAACGATGAAGGCTCCTGGATTTTGTTCGACTCTCTGCTCACATGACTGTGATGGAAATATGCAAATAACAGCGCTGTCCAGACCCCAAATGTGAGGGACGTGTAGAATAAACCATACAGGATGAGGCTTCTCATTGTACATGTAGCATCTCCTCAGTGGTCCGTCCCAAGGTCTGAGGCAGAGGGAAGTGAGAGGGAAGCATTGTTAGACACTTCAGCTGCTTGTAGGCCATCATCCATTTGGCTTAAAGGCAATTATCAGAGAGGCATTTTCCTATTGATCCTTACCACATACATTAGGCTTGGTATTTTCCATTAGTCAAGCCCTTAGAGCAGATTGTGTAAAATCTGCACATGTATGCCAGTATAAAAACAAGTAGTGCAGGGTGCTGGTGTTTTACACCTGTCATCCTAACTACTCAAGAGGCTAAGATTTGAGAATCACAGTTCAAAGCCAGCCCAGGCAGGAAAGTCCCTGAAACACTTATCTCCAATTAATCACCAAACAGCTAAAGTAGAATGATAGATAGTAGCCTTGAGCAAAAAAGCTCAGAAACAGCACCCAGGCTCTGAGTTCAAGCCCCAGGACCAGCACACACACACACACACACACACACACACACACACACACACAAATCAAAAATCAGATTTTGATTTCTCTGAGGGCGCAAAGATGCTTCACTTATAAAGCCATCTGGAACATTCTCCAAGGACCCAGGATTTGACAAAGATTCTGGATTCACAGTAAAAGTTCAGCAACAGAATGACTTAACACTTTACAAATGAAGTCTGGATTCCATGAGGGAAACATATCAAATATGTAACAGGGGAAAGTTGCTTCCAACTTGGAGGAGCAATGGATTAAAATAGGCACACAGAGCCTGACTCCATACCCAGCCCCCCAAAACAGAGAGAAAGAAACAATGGTATTTAAATTATAGTATCAGACCATCTTCCTATGAAAGGCTTTAAATTTCAAAGGATTTTGTATTACCTTTCTCCAAGAGCAAAAGTAGCTAAAAGCTAATTAAAAGCTAAAAGATTTTTATACTCTAAAGGGAAACCAGTTGGATGCTAATTAAATGAAAACATATTTGGAGGGGAATCAGCTCTCATATATAAAATGCACACGTATTTATATGCCGGGATTATTATGGAGACGTAAGCCCGTATTCTGCAGGATTCTCATATAGTAACAGAACTTGGGAGGAATTCTCTTTAGATGCAAACTTAAAAAAATATCCTCTTTCATTTTCTTGTTTCTTGTTCTTATTTATAAAATCTTCCATTTTCTTAAAGTAGAGGTTGCTCTCTTCCTCTGTACTACTCACCTTCCCTGCCCTGCCCTGCCCTGCCCTTCCCTCCCCTCCCCTCCCCTCCCCTCCCCTGCCCTGCCCT